AGAGAGAGAGAGAGAGAGAGAGAGAGAGAGAGAGAGAAGGAGGGGGGGAGAACAAATATTCAGCTATGACTACAATGCTGGTAATTAAAATCAGGTGATGTGATGAGCACTGGGTAGCCAGAGATGGCATCTTATGTAATTGTAGTTGCTTAGTTACCTATGCTTTCACTGCTAGAAGAAAGCCATTTAACTTCTCTCAGTTCCCCCAACTGGACCATGGGGATAATAATACTTTCATAAGCCTAGGTGGCTTGTGAAGGTTACTGTATGAGGCTCCTTGTCAGAGAAATTGTCACCTGTAAGTGCTCAAAATATGTGAGTTACTCCTAAGTGTACTGTCATTGATTGTAGATTGGGAGTGCCCCAGGGGAAGGGACCCAGGTTCACTGCTGACCCTCCAGCCCCAGGTGTGTTGACTGATGGACAGAGAAGTGTAGCCACAAACACATGCTCCTTCAAACAGACACACCCCAGCATCCTGGACTCCCCGACACACCTTGGTACACCGACATGGGGGCAGCACTGACCACCACCATCCGCTCAACCAGGGACGGGTAGTAGATGGAGAAATTCCAGGCCAGCAGTGCACCCCAGTCGTGGGCCACCAGGATGCACTTGGAGTAACCTGCGGGATCAGAGGAAATGGAGTGAGTGAGATGCCAGGCAGAGGTGAGTCAGGGGCGGGAAGGCCAAGGCTGGGATGGGGACACATCCCCACCCAGGCCCAGGATGACATCCTGGATGTCCGCCGTCAGCAGGTCGACAGTGTAGGAGTCCACATCCCTTGGTGCATCGGAGGAGCCGTAGCCACGCATGTCCACGGCCACCACGTGAAAGCGGCTCTGGAACTCCCGGAGCTGGTAGCGCCAGGAGAACCTGTCCGGCCGGCGGAAGAGGAAGGGAGGTTGAGTCAGGGTCCCCACACCTAGCAGAGGCCTATCCCGGGCGGTGTTAACACAGACTCATTCCTCTTTGTCTCCTCCCTTGGGGCCTTTGGTCCCTGGGGCCTCCTAGACACCTGTCCCCCAGCGCCCCATCTGAGCCCTGTATCGGTTCGCCCCCAGTCTACCCAGCCCGGTCCTGCCTCCTGGGTACCCTGGTGGTCCGAGTTCCACCTCCGCCCAGCTCTGTGCACCCAGTCCCCTGGGCCTCAGACATACCAGTTCTGGGGAAAGCCGTGAAGAAAAAGCATGAGGGGCCCGTTGCCGCGTCCGGCGGAGACATAGTGCAGGCGCAGGCCCGAGCTCTGGGGGAGGCACAGTCTAAGTAAGATCTGGGGAACCCCTCTTCCTTATGCCTGAAACCCTCCCTTC